AGCTTCCTCCATTCACTAGACGATCTACCAATACCAGCAAACTTTCGCATTCTGACTGTTCAAAGGCATCCACTAATGTTAACATATCAGCCTTTTTAATATCCTCATCGAATAAACTGGCCGTTTACTACTGTCGTTATTTGTTGTTGTTGCTATTATCACAACTAATATAACTACTGCTGCTGATTATATTGATTTTGATTAAAGATGAGAACGAGAAGATTCAACTGTTTATTTTGAGTTTGGAAAATGTTTAATATGAATATAGTAAGATAAATATGGCAGTAGTAACTAACAGTCTGGTAACCATCAAACTTGAGAATGGTTATGGCGCGAACAAAACGCACGAGCAACAAAAATAGAATCGTTTTCCTGGTCGGTTAAAAACTTATTTATTTTCGCTGGACTTTACACTAATCCGATTCCGCAGCTTATCCAGGGACATCAGTCCCAACTTATTCGAAGAGAGGACAAAGTCATTGCTTTTAATTATGATGGAAGGAAAACATGACGAATCACTAAATTACTATGAAAAAGTACTTAAAATAATACAGTTTAATTCTTTTCAATGAGATCATCCTTCTCCCGTTATGGCATGCGACAGTATAGGAACTTTTCCACTAAAGTAAGGCAAATATGAACAAGCATTAAGCTCTTTTAAATAGTCACTTCAAATGGAAAAAAGTTATGATTCATGTATTAGTATAACACGAAAATTGAGGAACTGTGCATTATCTCGAAGATCAGGAAAAAGAAGCATTAAAGAATTTCGATCGATTAACGGGTGAGCCGGAAATAACGTTCCTCTCCGTGGAACTTTTTGTCTTTGTTTAATACGACTGTTTTTATCTGCTTCAGCACGGTCCACTAACCGTGTGCGATCTTTCTGAGAATTGTAAATACCGTCAATGTCGAACATCTTTCTATCTGAAAAAAGAATTTTCATTGAATGCTCTTTTCGAAAATTTGTTCGGGTCAGGGTAGCTATAACTAGTTCTGATGATCATATATACACATTGATCGATATCTATAATGCGTTACTGTTTACATAGAGACAAAGAAAAGACGCAAAAATAGCGATATTATTTGAGATTTTAATTTTTATGTTTTTTATGTTTTAAAATTTTCCAGTATTGAGTATTTTAAAGTGTTGTCTTATTTACTTATAATTTTGGTTTGCTTCCAGAAAACAGAAACCACTTTACAGATGATTTTTATTTGCTTTTCATTATGAAAAGTTTCTTTTTCCAGAAGCAAATCGAAATTATAAGTAAATAAGACAACACTTTTAAGTACTCAATACTGAAATGTTCTGAAAAAACGAAAACTTAAAAGCTCAAATAGCATCACTATTTTTGCATCTTTTCGTTTTATGTAAACAGTAACTCGTTATAGATATATGTCGATCAATGTGTATGTATGATCGTCATTAAAAACAGAAAACGAAAATTTCGTCTTGAAAAGATAAGAAGACATTCAAAAACAATTTATCGTTATTACACATTGTATAATTTGGGTAAGTTAAGGGAGTATTAAGGGTTCCTTCTTTTTTTCTTATTACAGTATTAAAACAGGATGTGTGATTTGAACTTTTTAGTACAGGTAGATGCTGAAAAAGATGTATTTTTTTGCTTAGACATTTCTGAGAATTTTAGAAAAGTTTTGATACATATTTAAGAAAAAGCTTTTTGAAATATTTTCATATATGACATTCATCACTTTACAGATGAGAAGTTTGAGTTAAAAGTAATTCAAGGAATTTTTTCTTAAATGTGAATTAACCCTTCCAGGACTTTTTCGAAAAATATATCGGGCGCGGCATAAAGAATGATACCGTCAATAAACCGATAAAATAACATGTTTTCGGATTTCTTCTTGTTTGACTTGCTTGAAGCTAAAAATAATAAAACAAAGACAAAGCGAATAAGAATTTTTTCTTTTATGCCTGACGTTCAAAGATTGGTAAGCGTGATTTGATCTCGATCGCCGATTTCCCATCCTACCTCATATTTATACTAACAAATTAATATTAACTTAAACATACATTTAATTCAGTATGAATAAGAATACTGACGTCAATATTAACAAAAGGTGGCGGATCTTTGTCCCACTCAGATCCTGTGAAAAATAATAAAATGAAAACTGAAATACAAGCAGCAGAGATTCTATGAGCAACAGCAGCAATAATGGCAGCAAAGACGTTAGTCTGATTTACACAATAATGACATTGTCGTTGTTTGTCGTATGAGTTTTTGTTGGTATCCGTGTCAATCAAGAAGTTTTTAAGGCGAAAAGAAGAGACAAGCTAGTAAACTCCATAAGTTATACATCTGCCGAATATGATAGTTAGATGATCTGATGAAACTGTTGAAGGTTTATTTTTTGCATGCAAAATAGGATATTGTGCAACTGCTACAATGAATTCCAGGATCTTGAACACGTTTTTGCAAAATTTCTAGCATTGTTTCGAACAACATTGATTGACCTCGGCAGTGATGCACAAAAGGAAGTTTGCATTTGTTTGCTAAATCAATCTGAGCTTCAAAAGTCGGTATCTCCGGTTTTACGGAAATGTTTCGTCTAATCCACATTCGCCCAAGCCTATCACTTTAGCGGTTGAATGGGGAACGCTTCCCGCTTTGACAATCTCTTCTAGGGGAAGTAAATCGCCTCCTGTCTGCGTCCACCGAATGTATTTTGGTTGAATCCCGTATGTCTCAAGAATACTGGGATTACCGGTAGCCCCAGTTTGGAATGTCGTAAGCCAATTTTCTGGTTTATGCTTATTGGTGATCGTAAACAGTTTTCTAATAGAAGAGTTTTTGGTTTCATTCGAAAGCTCACAAGCTGAACTATTCAAAATTTACTTAGAACGACAGTGCCCATCACATATCGGATTGCTTGACAGCAAGTGACTTTTACGCCCACAAGATCGATCGCATTGCTTGAAAACCCTCTTACAACATAGTGAGGGTATAGATGACATTCTGTACTAAGTAAGGAAAGGAAAGAAACAGAAACTCTACAAGAATACAAAAAGAGAAAAAACAAAAGCAGTAGGTATGAAAAAAATAAATCATATATACAATGTAAAGAGTAATCAGCACAACTAGGTGAAATAAGAAATCAGCAGTGTCCACTCTGCAGGCCTTTTGCACTGCAGTGATTCAGAACAAAACTTTTGCTCTCAAATACGTCACTGTCACTAATAGTGCCTGCAAAGAAAAACCTCGAAAAATATAATAATGTCGGTGACAGAACTGTACCAAAAGTTGTAAGCTTCGACTACCTCCTTGATGTGGTCCTATCGGGTTGATTCTGACATCTTTACGTCCTTGTTTCAAAAAGATAAAGGAGGCAGTGTGCTTTAGTGTCAAACGACAGAAGCGGTTAGAGAACAGACGTTACTCAAAATTATTTCTGAGTTTTAAAACTCTTAAAACGATTTTTAGAGCGAAAAGAATATGTAAATAAGAAATATGTAAATCTGGAGAGAAAACCGTTTACTTCTTCATCTTTTTGTTCTTCCAGTTCGTTTTCACTACTTGCATCAGAATCTGCATTCCACTCAAAACTTTTTCTTCTTCAGTCTAGCCTCGAGCTATTTTCTTCGGATTCAAATGGAGTTATATCGGTATCATCAAAATCGTACACAACCGTCTGAGCGAATTTTCCCATAGCGATACGTTCGCTCTCGTTCTGGAAATTCATTTCCATCATTCGAAAAAGTTTTTGCATCATTGTGAGCAGTAGATTTTTAGAAGGATTTGTTGATAAGAAATATAGTCTTGACAAAACATCATTTCCCTTTTCAACTCCTTGCATGTTAAATGCTCCAAGATCTGAATTGTGTGGCCAAGGCGACCAAAAACGAAATGCACTGTACAAACTGTTGTTTTGGCACTTTTATACCATTAGAATGAAAACACTCCAGTTCGTTTAATTCGATAAGTTCGCAAAAGCATACTGTTGGGGGCATTTTAAGAAATGAGTCCATTTGACGAATTTCGTAAATACACATTGTTAGATCCAAGTTCTATACTACTCACTAATTTTCATGTTCCAAGGATTCGCAAATGCGATGTGTTTTATGGAAGTAGACAGTTCGTAAAGGCACCTTGCTGAGCGTGGATGAATCGCAGGAATTTCAAAATTAGATGTTACGGCTACTTCTCAACGTTTTATGAATGCACTTCGCTGTGGACGCATGAATTCTTAGAACGCGGGTTGGCCAGATTGCTAGGCGTATGTGTGATTTCGTAAGAAATGGTCGGCAGAGTTTTTCTGTTTTACGAATTGCACATTGTGATTATTTCGCACGTTAATCCTGCAAAGTTGCAGGTGAGTAGCTATGCTAACTATCAAAGTTCCAAAACCTTTCACCTCTAGATCGAGAAATCTGCAAATTGCTTGCCCTTTGTACTTTGCAAAGAATTCGTATGCAAAATCTGAGAATTCGCAAGTTCACTGCTGTTGAAGTAGATCAAAAGCAAAAAGCTTTTTGGTCTAGATCAAAAAATCTGCAAATAGCGTGTACTTTGCACATTGCAGTCAATTCGCATGAAAATGTGAGAATTCGTAAACGGGTAGCTACGATAATTATTCGAAGTGAAAAAAGTTTTCCTCTAAAGTGGCGGACAAAATTTTAAGGCACCTTTTGTTTTTCATTTTTCTGCGTGAAAGATCACTCATTATCGACATCCGAATAGTGATTTGGATAGCTTTCAGAGCGTGCTACAAACCTGAAGTGATAAGAAAACTTAAGTTTAGCTGTTTTCGTTTTTGTAACAGAAATCGTTTTTGCCCAGCGGACAAAATTTTAAGGCGCTTTTCGATATCTTTGCTTTATTTTCGTGAAATCCTACAGAAATACAGTTTCTTTCACAAGAACTGACCACCTTTCGCTTTTAAACACTTTCGTATTCGTTCTGGCATTGATTCGACCAACTTGATGCATAAACCGATATCAATGTTGCCCCATTCCTCCTGAAGACGATTGATCAAGGCTCCTTTGAAATAAATCGTTTTGAAGCCAATTTTTTGTCCAAAATGGACCACAGCATCTCTATCGGGCTGAGGGCTGGACTTTTAGAGGCCCAGTCGAATACTTTCAATTTCAATTTGGCAATTTTATCTTTCAATATATTTGATGTATGCCATGGAGCCAGGTCTTGTTGGAAGATTATTTCAGTTTTCTTCAGTATTTTTGTCATGGATTGCTGTAGTTCTTTCTGCAAAACATCGCAATATAATTGACCATTCATATTTTGCGTGTAAATCTTAGCAGCGGTTGTACCGAAACGCGAGATGCCGCCCCATATGCCAATTACCGGTATTCGTTTGTTCTAAACGTTCCGGAAGAAGTTTCTCTTTTTCCAGACGCCATATTTTGCATTGATTTTTTCTTTTTAATACGTAAAACGTCGATTCGACTGAAAAAATCACCTTCCGCCAGTCATCATGTGTCCAGCTCAAATGTTGTGTGCACCAGGCAACACGCTGTTGCCAATGTCGGGCACTTAACCACTGTTTCTTGATTTTCACTACGTACTCAAAGCCAAGATCTTTCAAATATCGGCGTACTGTTCGTATTGTAACCGGTTTTGGTAAGCTGTTGGTCAAGTCCGACGCTATTTTCGCAGCGCTGAGGCGGGAATCTCCTTTGACCAATTTTTTCAAATGCCGAACTTCACGATCAGAAAGTTTTTTTGGACGTCCGGTGTGTTTCAAATCATTATATCGAAATAGCTCTTCATACTTTTTGATCGTATTTTGAACACAACTTCTTGAGATCTTTAGTTGTTTTGAAATTTGAACCTGGTTGAGACCGGCACCATGTAAGGCCACCGCCTGAGCCCGGATAACTGGATCAATAGGCTTTTTTCCCATAAGAGGTTTTGATAATAATAAGATAAGCAAAATATATCTAAAGAATTGCAACAATATTATCTTTCATATTTTTTTCGAAAATAAAGCAAAGATATCGAAAAGCGCCTTAAAATTTTGTCCGCTGGGCAAAAACGATTTCTGTTACAAAAACGAAAACAGCTAAGCTTAAGTTTTCTTATCACTTCAGGTTTGTAGCACGCTCTGAAAGCTATCCAAATCACTATTCGGATGTCGATAATGAGTGATCTTTCACGCAGAAAAATGAAAAACAAAAGGTGCCTTAAATTTTTGTCCGCCACTTCAGGTCGAAAAATCTACAAACTGCACGTGAATTGCATATTGCATTCAATTGGTATCTACAAACTGCTGATTTGTTTTTATCTTTAACATGAGAATTCATCAAAGGCTAGAACAAGGTTCTTCCTCGAATCAAGAAAATGCAAACTACTGCTAATTGCAATGTGTGTAGATTCGTACAAATCATCAGCAAAAATCATGCTCGACATTTTGCAAAGACTTTTCCATCGTATGTCATAAAGCACTCACTATTCAAAAACATTTCCGTAAAACCAAAACAATAATCAGATATGATAAAAACAAATTTTTTCACCAAAAAAAGTGAATATTTCTATCCTTTTGTCCGTCTAGAAAATCTTTGAAAACTGGTCGGCTTTCTGCAGTTTTTTCACTGGTCTAAAATTTTTCAAAACCGCCTTTTCTTTTGCCGTTTTTAAGGCCCTCATTTTGGGCGTTCGGTAGAAATGCAGTGAAATAAAAATTAAAACTCACTAAGATTTCATATTTTCAGAACTGATTGAACACTCAATGGAGCACGTTTTCGCTTCTGTTTCAAGTTTCTAACTATTGCCGTTCATCAGTTTTCCAGAAAACTCGATTTTTCATTGTGTCACATTACGACCCCCTCAAATTTCATTCGATCGAGTTAAACATTTTAACAGAGGTACTCAGGATCATAGCGCAGTGGTATATAATTTTGAAATTTTATTTTAGATCTTTCTTTACCGAGCTATAGGGAAAATACCGAAAAACTTTCAAAAACCAAGTTTTTAAATTTTAGAAACCGTATAACCGTTTAATCAACTATAGTAAATACTGCGAACTCCTCGTCGCAAAATTAGTTTTGTACTTCAGCATGTAAGTAAACACTTTATTTAGTTTAGGCTGCTATGATTCTCCCAATTATTCTCATCACTATGATTAGTCACTTGAGCAATAATCGCTCCCAGTGTCATTGCCATAGTTATGTGTGAAGAAATTACTGTTTTCAGCTCCCGAGAGGTGTATGACTGAAATAGTTTGATGGTAGTTATGCTTTTGTAAAATGTGTCAAACGTATATTTATTTATTTGTAGGCACAAAGAATAAGTCTGAACGAAACATTAAATTTAACATTTCTTGAATTATTTCTAGTACATCCTAGCAGTATGGCTCGTAGCACATACGCATTCGTGTTTTTTATGGTTTTTATATCAGATGTTGTATCAACGAATCAGTCGAATATAGTGATTATAGCCCATATTCCGCAAGGCGGAAAAAATTCCCTTACTTTATTAAAAGCAGCGATCCCTTGCTCAAAGAATCTTTCCGTTGAAAGTGCAATGAAGCAAGCTTTTACGCAGAATCTTATATACACAGCGAAATGGGGCGGAAAAACAACGAATGGAACAATTCTTCAATCGTACTCAATTGAAAGCATTAATGGTGCTCCAAACTTTAATCATCCTTATGATCAAAGATTAAGTCGATATTGGTTGGCTTGCATTAATAATTCCGAGCTCGATGTGGGCGTAACTGAAAAAATATTGAAATGTGGTGATCAGATTACCTGGTACTATATTTCGTATGTAGCGCGTTTTTGTCAAATGTAAATGTAGAGACAAAAATCAGAAACTCGATTAAAATAAGCGTCAAGCTGAATGTTGTGATTTTGACTAATTAAAAATCTTTATAGAATGAATTGAAGGAAATACGATGACTGACTATTGTACTTAGTTTGCGGCTACTTAGTAACATTCAAGTAACTGAAAAAAAAATCGGTTTAAATGTGGTTTGCTTCGTCCATTGATCTTACTCAACTAATTTGAATAAAAACTAACCAAAAATATCTATTCACTTGTGCATAACTATACATTTTTGTTTACCTTAATGTGTTGTTTTATACTTACAGCTCGTATGGTTTACTTAACGCACCCAAAGAAGGTGTTATTCCTATTAGAAGTGATCGCAGCTGAGATGCATTGTCATTCATGATTACTGACTTTATATGGTATTACACGAAAGATCAACGACTTTGGTTGAAATATGATGTTGGTCTTTCACGTAGTGCATAAAAATATATCGTAAGATACTTTTGATTCAGATTCGTATGACGCCGAACAGCCGCAGCCCATGCATTTTATATTTTGGAACATATAGGGCTGAATTCTTGACTTTTCAGGAAGAAACGAAGATTGAAGCGACACTTAATCACTTAAGTGACACTCCAGAACTTAAACACTTAAAGTGACACTTAACGCGCAGGTGCACACACTTAAAGTGAGGTTTTCCCTCCTTGGTTTATATCCTATTTTCGGTGCAACAATGCTCAGCACCGCACGCCTCGTAGGCCAGTCGTCAGCATTTTGATACGCTTGTGTTACTCCTTTTATTACGGACAAAAACTTTCCATCCAACACTACTGGATTTTCACTCTCATTTCCACTGCATAGCGAATCCAAAACTTCTTCAGCATTATTCGGAGCTAATAAAGAAACTATTGATTCAATGATGCTTCTAGTTTTTGCCAAAAGTTCATGGTAAGCCATTCCAAGCATGCCCGAACTTGCTGCTCCTAGATCAGACAATGAACTTTTTGAATTCCGAGACGTCATATAGAACCGCCAGACTATCCTCTTTCAAGCTATGCACGATTATGGTCCTTATTCTCAATGGCTGAGGAGTTACAGAGGTGTTTCGAGGACCTGCCTATTATTCGCAGTTGTGGCTTGGGACTACGAAAAGAGCTGGGTTATAGGTTATCGATATCGCTGACCATCGTAACAATGTTTATTATCTTTCTCAGATCACAGAAAGTTCAGCTGAGTCAATTTTTTCAAAAATAAAGGCAATGTGATCAAAACCAGTTAAATACTGCCCGGTTACCGCTGCGGTACCCGCCTGTTACATTCTCCGGTATACCACCAGCGGAACTGGAATTATCGCACGGTCTGCTGAACCGTGCGGTATACCGGTCCGCTGTATCGGCGGTATCAACCGGTATTTTATCAGTATAAACAAACAGTACAGGAGTTCGAATCTAGTTCTCAGCTTTCTTTTCTTTTTTGCAGTGCGTATGCAGCGCAATGAGGTACCCGAACGAGAAAAACTGGACTCAAGTCGAAGTGCAAACTTCGACGAGTCCCTATAATCTGAAAGAGAAAATTTAATCTGAAACGAAATCAAAATTTTTTGACTTTTCTGCGTTTCTTATATAGAATGCCAACTGCAAAACAAAAAGGTGATTGTGTCAAAACGGTTTACCGACGGTTTTTTCTTGTACCGCGGTCTGAAAAATAACGTGTGGTAAACCGTGTGTGCCGGTAGAAGAAAAAGTCAGTAGTTATACCGAACGGTACAGTTAACCAGCGGTAATCTATAGACCGGTCGGTAACCGGCGGTATTACGATAAAAAGTGCAACATAGATTACTGTAAAGCAACTAACTACTATATAAACAAACTAAGTTGTGGAAAACAGTTCTGGTGACGCTCTGACATGTTTTCAATCGATAAAAGTCAATGCTGCTCTGGAACGATTATTTAACTTAACCGCCTATGTCCTTTCATCTAAAATCCATTAATCAATATAAACATGTCAATTCAAAATATTATTCATATAAGCGTAGATGCTGGCGCGCTGTTAGCTATTAGTAGTATTTAAATTATAGGACCAGTTTTGCATTTTCGTTGTTTGACTATGAGAACAACACAAGATCAGATCGAATGTAGCATGAGAAGATAGAGAATCATTTTCCGATCAATTTTGAAAAAAACGAGAGGTTATTGACTAAGCCAAAATGGCTTGAAGATATCACTCCCGCTCCATGCTGTACTTCGTGTTAGTCCTTCGACACAGAGATTCTAACTCGCTTCCTTAAAAAATTTACTAGCTACTGAATAGCTAGCTGTTGGCTGATCTTTTTTACAAAAGTTGAATGAAAAAATTTAGTCAGTTCCCATTCTTGTTATAAAGTGCTCATAATAGTTGAAAGGTACTGTCAAAAGCTCACCTGACTGTGAAAAAAAAATTTTTCGATGAAAATTTGTTCTTGTTATAATCATAGAAATGGATACTTGTGACTATGTAACACGTACACATGAATAAGAACAGAGCATGCTTGAATGTGTGTACCGAGCATTCTTTTTCTCTTCCACTGAAAAGTGTATGGCTTGCTGCTTTTGTTTTCTTTTTCGTTCTGCTATTCTAGTTCATAATTATACTCGATGATATCCTCGTTTTACCTGATATTGATGTTCTACTATACTTACTAGTATCCATTTCTATGGTTATAACGAGTACTATTTTCTGTCAAAAAATTTTTATTTCTCGATGCGATGAGCTGATTGAATATATGGTAGGTTCCTGATACACTCTCAACAGCTCTGGTAGTGTTAACAGAATACTGTACAGCTTGCACTGGAGTGATACATAGTGGAAAAAAAATGAAAACATGAAGTAGAAAATAAAGTTTGAGATTTTCTTTTACACTCTCAAATCTGTTAATAAAAATTCTGGTTATTGCGTATTAAATTAATCGTTTCAGAATCCTTGAAATATCTTGACAAGATTTGCTCAAGATTTATCAAGACAGATTCTGATTCAAAACTTGTGGAAAGTGTGCAGTACTACTTCCATTCAGAATCTTGAAAGATTTCGATAAATCTGCCCAGGTTCTTGAAAGATCTGGGACGAACGTGAGAAATCTTTAAAGATTTATCAAGCTCTGGATTCAAGATTTTTTACTGGGACGAGCCGATTTAGGGCAATTTGAGAAAATTTTAGGGCAAACAATATTGTGAGAATGTAGGCATTCTCTCGTCTCCCCCCACGCCAACTTTCTCCTTCCTATACGCTCATTCGGACTATACATGGTCTGTTTGTTTTCGCTTTCCCGAGCCCCTCGTCGTATGGCCGTGAACACAACGGGAAACCAAACAAAGTTTGTGTAAGTTAAGAAACGTGAAATCTCTCATAAATATTGTCTGCTCTTAGCAGCTGTTCTTGATTACAAAAATATCCTAAACAATTTGAATAACCTATAAAAAGAAATAATTCGATAGATGAACCTAGAAAATACTTCTGCACGTCGGTGAGTGCATTTTTCGAATTATGCACTGTGTCAATGGATCGCTCCGTGTTACAATTGACCTATTTTCGTTTTCTTCAAAGTTGAGTTTTTCCATAAGAGGCATCTTTCAGTCTTGTGATCCGAAGATGAGGAATCTAGACAGCTTAGGCCTTCACTTGTGCAACAGATATCATCATATTTTTGCCGCAATGGGACGCTAGTCCCATTTTGTCTCAGAAATTGAATCTGTCCACACAGTTACTAATGTCTGTGTTTTAATCCTTCTTTTACATTTGATGCATATTTATTTCTTATTTCTGTATCTATTATTGTGTCATTCGAATGATGGCGACAATTTAGTGTGTTATAGTGCACTAATCGAAGCAAATTTTGTGGCGTTTCCGTTCGTTGGAAATTCACCGTCTGGTAATTTTTTCGTGAAGAATAATCGATGTTAGTTCTCGTATGATACAAATACTTTTCTTTACCACTTTTATAGCAATTCGGTGCTCTGTTAGTATATTGCTCGATAACAAGTAAAGCATTCGCATCCGTTTGTTGATCACAGAAAAATGTGTTCCACAAACTGATAGATGGCTGATTTCTATGCATATCAAGAAAGTGTTTTACTGAATCATTCGAAGAAGGCGGAACAATGTATTCGACGACGTCAATTGCTCCTAACCATTCTGACTGGTTACCGTATCTGAGTAAACAGTCTTGAAGCACTTCGTCTGAAGAATCATCTTTATACCATTGAATGACATCAACTAGATCCGTGTTCAAATAGTCATATAAGACATCATCGAGACGTTTAACGATTTTATCGTAGATAATAAATTTAGTGAATCCAACTAGTCGATGAAATTCGATCCATTGAGGTAAGTATTTTACATGATCTTTCAACGATGATGTGCAGAGGGTCAATTTATGGCTTAATATTGATTTCACTGATATATCAATCGAACCCTTTAATATCGGTAAATATTTCTGATCAAATGTAGCTAGATAAACGATAATTTTGGTTCGGTTGTTCCGCAAATTACTCATTAGTGCACAGTCGAATATAGAAACATGATCGTTTCCATAAGCAGGATTGTACCCATAGACAGGAGATATAAACCCATCATCAAATATACACCATACGCTTTGCTTTGTTGAAGTCGATTTTAGGCGCGATCGTTTCTGTTGCTGAACTTCTGCCGGAGAGATTACAAAGAAGGTTATCCAACTCTCATACCGTTTAATATTGATCTGGACACTTAGTATTAGGAGATTCAGAGTTGCAGTGTGTCCTGGAATTGTTGGTAATCTATTATTTGTTGCCCTAAGAATTTCGGCTATTTGGCGAGTTGCATGCATGGAAACATTCCGTAGCAATATATTATCAATGCACACAGTACTTTTTCTGGTTCGAAACGATAAGAAGATAAGAACACATGTAGTTAGAAATATTGTCAACACTAATTTAATATTTGATAACATAACTGTCCACTGGCAATAAGATGAGAAAACCAGTAAGAATAATTTTTACATGTCTGTCGATTGAGTGTTTTCTAGAGGATAACTAATGAAAAGAATAGGGAGAAACAAAATATCTAGTATCGTTTCAACACTCAGTGCTGATCACAGTTTTTGGAATAACTCGACAAAGAATTCAAAAGCTAAGACTTTGGTGCATCTTTCGACAAGGAAATAAGAGGGAAAATCTTTTCTTTAACAAGTGTTTGAGAAAGATCTCAGAAATCTCGTTCGGTTTTCGGAACTTTGAAAGAGTAATATATTTGTTTTTTATCTGAATAGATAGCCGAAAGTGAGATGTCGATATTTTAGCTGCTTTTAAATGGTTGTGCTGTCTATATTCCTATTTCCAACGCTTTTCAGAAAAACCTGTTCGACCCTAAGGTATTTTCTCTGAATTTGCCGTACTTGAAGGTATGTCAGCTGTAAAGCAACTAAAATCGAGGATATTTCGAAGTTCTGAAGTCGAGTCCTGCAGTGATATTTTTCATCCCAAATACGATCTCGTCCTATAGACTTAAAACCCGTCTTGAATCCGAATCCGCACGAATTATTTTGGGATCCCCATTCCGATTTCTTCAAACTAAAACGCGCCCAAATCCGCTCGACCCGAAAACGTGATCATAGTTTTCATGGTAGCGGAAATCAAAAGATTTCAGAAAATATTTTTTTCTATTGCTACTTTTGTGATAAACATTCGGCAGGCCCAGAAACACTATCTGTCAGTAATTTTTTCCTTTTAAATAAAAACTAGAAATTAGTTGAAAAAATAATGCAACCTTTGAAGGAGAAACCCGATCCCGTTCCGACGAACTCAAATCCATCCCGAATCCGAATCAAAACAAAAAGGCTTCGGGATCCCAGTCCTGAACCCGCGGGATCGGGTTCGGAATCGAGATCAGGTTTAGCCTACAGGATTCTATTCTGAAATGTTTTTTTCCAATTAATTATGAAGTTTTCAGTTTTG